ATGAAACTAATATACTGAAAATCAACTGCAATTGTGTCACGATTTTGACATTTTCTCGGTGTAATATCGCAAAAAGAAATGTTATTGTCCGGTATTGTATTGACCTAATTTATATTAAATATTACAAACGATGAAAGTGTACTTTATTCGTTATCATCTTAAGAAAGATTACCCATCTAAAAATAATTACAAATTACATTCATGAATTAGATTCAAACTGATAAAGATGTTACCTTAACTGCCTTACAATATTAAAAGAGTTCTATTGGTCGGGTAAACAAACTGTTATAGTTTAAAACTTTTTTTTTAAAAGTGTTCTCAATGAATGTGTTAATAAATACAGTATTTAACTTATTAAATCCCTAAATTATTTGTAAAAAATTTAAATATTTAAATTGCTAGCAAGCATCAAAATAATTCCTTCGTGGATTTTTTGAGACATCTGAATTACTATCAAATATTAAAATCTATTTTTTTAACATAAATTGCTAAAACTTACCAAACCTCTCCTATTTACAGCCTCTTTCTCTTTACTTCCTCCTTCTTTCTTTTTCGTTTTTCTTTTCTCTCTTCCCCCCTCCCATTTCAGTATATCACTTCCGTTAAGTTAACCGTTTAAATAGGTTAAGGTCTGGTCACTTCACTTCCCCCGATAATAAATATGATTGAGAAGGATATTAAATTAAACCATACCTAAACACTACCATGTCTCTCTAAACACACCTTATTACACTCTCTGTTAAATTACAAAAACTTAGACAACCCATCAATTTTCATTTCATTTTTCGTTTCATTTTTTTGGAAGTGCTCTCTGATGATCCGGCGTACTTTAAAAGGGTTCTGGTGAAATAAATCATTATAATAGAAACTTAAAGTGGTCTGTTTTTTTTTTATATATTATATATATATATATATATATATATATATATATATATATATATATATATATATATATATATATATATATATATATATATGTGTGTGTGTGTGTTTGTGTTTATGTGTGTGTGTTTGTTTGTGTATGTGTGTGTAAGAGAAATAAAGAAAAACGAAAAAGATCATCAGCTCGAAAGTTCCATATTCATTAACATCTCATGCCTCAGTAATGACATGCTTCCAATATAAATATAGCATAATCTAAATCTATATTTTATCATATAAATACACACACACACACATATATATATATATATATATATATATATATATATATATATATATATATATATATGAAAAGAACTTACATAAAATAGACAACACTTGACTATATTATTTAATGAAACATGTAAGAATATATATATATATATATATATATATATATATATATATATATATATATATATATATATATATAATGCCAAACATTATTTTCAGTGGATACTGTATTTGAATAGACGCCTTATTTATTAAATCCAGGCACGCCCCATATTACTGATCAACTAGAAATTGTGGTTGGTAGCCTTCCTTTTTTCTGGAAAAGGGAAATCTGCTGGTGAACCGGAAGTCATCCGCGATTGGACAATATATTGCCAAGAAGAGTCGCGTATGATGTGCATTTCGGAAGATGCAAAAGTTGTAGCTGAACTTGTGTTCAGCTACAACTGAAGCGGTACACAAGTTCGTACCCGATCAGTATCGGTTGGGTCACCGTAGAGATGGATTAATGAACCTCGGCTAGAAACATCACTGATGATGTGTACTAAAGAATCCAATAGAGATATTTTACGAAGTATATATATATATATATATATATATATATATATATATATATAATTTTTAAATATTTGAATAGGCGCTCCATTTATTTGTTAAAAAAGGATTTTCATTTATTTTAGTCTACCGTTGATAGCATGCGAAAAATCACATTTAAAAAATCAGTGTCGGGCATGTTTCGACTCAGCATCTCTCTGGACAGAGAGAAATTGTCGTTGTTTCTAAAGTGCCTTAACCGGCTCGGTCACGTAGTAGCCTTGCCAATCATGAAAAATGTTAAACAAGTCACGATTTTTGATACATTAAAGACAGAAATGTTTCTCATTCTGCCAGAAAATCTAAAAGCCATCTTTTGCAAAGTATATATATATATATATATATATATATATATATATATATATATATATATATATATATATATATAAAATATAGAGAACAATACGGACAATGTGATGCGTGTGTATGTATATATATATATATATATATATATATATATATATATATATATATATATATATATATATATATATATATATATATATATATATATATATATATATATATATATATATATATATATATATATATATATATATATATATATACATCACGTCAACCCAAGCTATTCAGTATTTACAAGACTTGTAACTTTAATACAGCGGTTCCAGTACGATCCCAACAAAACTTTGAGCAAAGTCTGGCCTGGTCAGTACCTAGATTTGTGACCGCTTGGGAATATCAGTTGCAGCAAGCTGGAATGCGCGGAAGGTGTATTAGATAGAAATTCGGAAATTTTAATCGGATAGCCTTGTTCTAATTACGGCTGGGGTCACTATATTTATTTACGCACAAATACACTTGTAACAGGTGTACATACATCTATTTTCCCCCTGCTATTGGTTAATTATTAAGACTTGTATCAATAAACCATTATTATCTAAAAACAGATCTTAAAATCTAAGAAAATATTTATAGTTTTAAATAACCTGCAATGGGTTGATAAGCCGTAGGTATGAGTCAATCCTTCAATAAAAAGCCAAGCTATTCAATAAAGCCATTAAGTCGTAAGAGGTTACTAAGTGTGATTGAATATGAGAAAAAGAGTAATATTATTAGAGAGAACAAAAATAAAGAGCAGGAATTAAGAAGACAAAACATAACGAAAGAATGGGTTCGACATCAGGTCCTTTGAAACGAAGTGAAAATACTGGAATAGGATGAGCAATGGAGAGTTTGACTTCTGAAATAAACAGCGTATATGCTAGTCTAAGAGTGCCTCCTTTGTCTGACTAGAATAGAAATAAGTACAATATCGGAGTCGCTAATAAATAAAGGATGACAAATGTCAGGATGACGTCAACTGCAGCAGGTGAAGCAAGAATCAAAATATTGGCGCCAGCAGCAACAACGCAGTTGCAATCAAATCAACAATGTTGAGCTTAAAACTTTTAGTTCCCTAAAACAAAATTTTAATAGATAATGGCTTAGTGGATGAAAGCGTTGTTTTGTGAATTCAGTCGCTGGGTCGGGCTGTGTGTAACGGCACTCAGTGTAAACGGGCCAGCATTAAAGAGCTACAAGATAGATATGGGCAGTGGAATGTGTGTCCATAATCTCCAGTAGGTTACCCAGATAGATAAGCTAAGGAAGTCTGATAGCAACAGTAATGAGGACAATAGTCGGAATTTAAATAATGTAAATAATAATAATTCCTCATTCAACTAATTCCGATATAAATTATAGAATATACACTTATTATAGAATTTACGGTTAGATCTAGCCATTTCACCTGCACATTGATGATGTAGAAATCCTTCTATTCGTTTTTTCGTTGAATGTTAAAGTTTTGAGTGTCGGGATTCGATACAATAACAAAATGTCGTTACAGGGTCGCTCGTAATTTGGCTGTCTAGAATAATTACACGATTGTCATTGAAGGAATAAAATTCAGTAGAAAAGACAACGTAGTTTCAACAAATAAACATTAATTTAGTATAACGACAAGAATACAAGCAGTTGATGATAAATTGGAAAGTAATGTCTTTTTGTTTGGGTTAATAAAGCTCTGAAATAAAATATAAACTGTCTTTGTGTACGTATGTGAGAATCAATAAATTGTTGTTATATGTGTTTGTATTAAAAGTCAACACGTGTGTGCGTGATTCATAGTAAAGCGGATACAAGAGATAGTTAGAAAATAGTTCTTACTGTTGGTGGTGTTGCCGTAGTCTGAAGTTTGTCAACGCTGTCGCTTTTAGAATGAGGTCGTGAAGACCATAAGCGAGAGTTGCGTGGAGTTTGGTCACAGTTGTGTGTATCCTGTTTGGGACTTTGAATATGGAAGCGAGAGTATGAATGTTCGTACCATTATTAAAGGCCCGAATGATCTTTTTAGTTTCATCATTGCTCAGTTCGGAATATATAGTGGGGTTGATACAAAAGCATTTTAACTTGTTGTATGTCGAGTTAAAAGACGCAACAGATTTTTCAGTGATTCTTACGACATATATTTTCAAGATGGTTGAATGTCTTATCAGAATTCCTGGAAAAATAAACTCGGTGTTAATTTAGATATTAAACATTTTGTGTGGATGCTGGTACAAGATTTGTACAAGTTTGCTTTTACACCGGTACATCTCTCTTTTTTTTTCAGTCGTTAATAAGAGAGAATACGTGTTCAAGTCTCGTCAAACGCTACATGAATTCGCTTAGCGGTTGGAAAATGCAAAATGAAGTATAGTGGCTTTTCCTCCTATTATATATAAAATAGCTAAATGTTTTAAATTTTGGATTAGATTTTTATAATTTTTGGTAAATATTTTCTGTGTTTCTTAACAAGAACATGAACAAGAGCAAAAATAAGGCTATAGCAGAAAAAAAGATGAAAAGGATTTAATATATTTGTGAACAAGAACAAATATGTCATCACATCGACATGTCTGTCCCAAGCGAAATAAATAACTGTAGTCAATAAAGGTTTTGGAAAATATACCAACAAATAAAGACACATGAAAATCAAGAGATAGTTTTGAGTCAAATTCACAGATATTAAGATAATCTCTTTTCATCAAATAAACATATCGCAACAACATGTTAGCCTAACGTCCAAGGATTTTACTCGACTCTCTGGAAGAAAAAATGTATTAAGAAAAACATTTCAACGATAGTAATATATGCATTCGTATTACAAATGGGATAAGTTTCATTGATTCTGCAAATTAATTAACATGTGTTACAGTAAATTTCCAATCATTTGGGTATGTACCCTTAGAGATAAAACAGTGTGTATGTTGGTACGTATGTATGGAAAAATGTTTTCTGGATAACGGATGTATAATATCGGATTATTTTCTAGATATTTTTATATACGGAGGGATGTTTGAATTTAGAATTTAGGTTAATTTTTAGAATTAATAGATATACACTAGTTAATCTTCCCGTGTCTCTTATTTCCTTTTATTTTGACTTCTGTTTTCCATTTTAATTTGAGACTTTAATTTTTTTATGTTTTTAAAATCTGTATTTTTTATTTTCCTATTGATATTATTACTGTCGTCTATTATGATTATTATTATTTTATCATTATTATATTTATTATCAGATTATTATTGATTATTTTTTATTATCTTTTATTTTTAGTCATATTTTTTATCATGATCATGATTATACTATTTTATTTTTTATTGTTACTGATATTGTTACACTTATCTTCCTTATTTCTAATTTGTTTTTTAAGTATATCTATCTATCTATCTATCTATCTATCTATCTATCTATATTTCTCATGTTGACTGTCTGTGTGTCTGTCGTGGGCGTTGTTACCTCACTCAGGCCGCATTTCTCACCAGATTTCGATGCGGTTTTCACCACACGTTTGCAAATGGCTGCCGTAAGGACATGATGGAGCCGATTTTTGAGTTCGGACACAGGTTCCGAAAAATCTGCTTACAGAAGGAATGATCGCATTTCAACCAATTTTGACACCATCAGAGTCTACCATTAGAATTGTTGTCCAGAAGTTTCATGAACACGGACCCCTAAACAGCGCGGAAAATCGATAAAACCCATAAAGCCGATACGCCCAGATTCCGTCTGAACCGCATGTCGGTTTTTAGCGAAAACCGACTGGATTTATGAGGAGGCCATTGGGAGTCACCATGTGAAGTTTCAACTGTGAGCCCAAACAGAGTGCAAATCGACAATCGGTCAACCCTTAAAAATGTTTTTCCGTTTGGGTATTTCCTAAATGCAGATTAATTTAAAGAAGAAACAGGTCAGTGCGTGCAGTGGAGAAGGAAGAAAACATTTGACCTCAAATTCTGGAATGGGTGCAGGGCCATTGAAATTCGGCTTTTTTTTTATCCCTTCTACCACGTCTTACTTTGAGACACAAATGACATATTCGGCCTTGTCAAAACTGTTGCTTTAATCGTCGCATCTTACCGAAATAAGTACTTCCTTTATTCGCACTTACTGAGAAAACCAGCATCTATGCTGAGTGAAAATGGTTCCGCCCTCAGCAGTACAATTTCCAATTCTTTAAACTTTTTCCCCTGGCATCTCAGACATGACGAAAAGTTTTTGCGGTAAATCAGCAGGGCTTCCTCCCAATCCATTTCAAAGCTAATGCCGGCAAACGGTTAGCGGCTTTTCGTTGTCACACAAACCAAACGAAAAACACTTCATTGCAGCTCCTTGCATTCTCATCGCCGGCATCACGTGCGTTAGAGCCAAGGTGCATATGCAGCAGGCAACTTGACCCCGTTTACGGTCAAACCTTGCGCTTGCCAAATCATGCGCGCGTGCGTGAATGCGTGCTAGCATCTTCCATTTTTTGTCAGCACATTCACTGGTCGAAGTCATGGCCATTGTCCAGGCTACACCAATCAATGACAAGTCACGCTCCCTTTAAATACCTTCAGCGCGGCTGCTTCCGCCCTCACGTCTTGATTTGCTTGCCATTAACGCATCTGTCCTTGGATTAATTGACAGCTTCCTGCTACCGCAAGTTACCTATTTGCTTAAACGTTTGCATTCACCATTTTTATCTCCACGTGCTGCCTTTACTGCGCAGCCCAGTCCATCTTAGCGTTCCATACCTATATCTACCTTTTCGTATTTCAGTTTTGCTATTAGACAGTTAACTGCTGTCACAAGTTACTTCTCTTCTGCTTTTACTACGCGGCCCAGTACACTTCAGTTTTTGATTACTTTTTAACCTTCAACGCTCCAACGTTTTGGTTGCGTAACCTCTTCCTACAGCGACGTTTTCGTGCTGCCAGAAAGCACGGCCCATAGCTAGGAGAAACTTTTTCCATACCGCTCCACTGCATTTTCAGTTTTCGTATACAACGAGGTTGCACCGCTTCAGCTTCGGCATCAACTTCTATTCGCTTTCTTACACAGCATTTCCACAACCCTTCAAATGGCTCCTACACGACGAACATCCGCACGTCAGCAACTGAAGACCCCTAATACCGTTAAAGTTACAGATGAAGAACAGGCGACTGCGGAGGAGCACATAATAACTCCGGTTACAGATGATCATATAACGTCTACTTCAAACTCTGCTTTGTACTCTTCTGCGTGCCGTGGCGATGACCAACCCGGCATCTCTGCAAAGGCTGCAAAAACATCCAGGCGAGGCAACATTAACAGGCGTTCTAAAAAAGCCTCACCGGCTAAGGGGAAACGTGAGCAGGATTCCATTGAGTGCACCTCCCTGGGGCAGAACCGGCTGGCGTCTACTTCAACCTCTGCTTTGCACTCTTCTGAGTGCCGTGGCGATGACCCACCCGGCAGTTTTGCTAAGCGTACCGAAATACCATGGTGAGGCAACCTTATCAGGCGTTCTAAAAGAGCCTCTGCGACAAAGAGAAAGCGGGAGGTAACCGAGGTATAGGCCTCTTTGAGGCTTTCCAGTCAATCTCAACGGAGGCACTATGTTTTGTCACATGAAACGCTTGGTGAGTATAACTACCATTTGTACTGCAAATAAGTTTACACATATTTGTTGAAAAGTAAAAGGAATCCATCTAAACGCTTGCAAGACAACAAAAAGCAGTTTCATCACAAGCGCTTTTGCGGTCACGACAGAGCCCACATCGAAAAGCTACTCGCAATGCAGCCGACGCCGCTGCAACGTCCATTCGACGGTCCCAGGAGACCACGTCTGAGAAAACCGCACGTAACGCAGCGAAAGCTGAGGCAACGTCCATTCGACGGTCCCTGGAATCCATGGTTGAGAGAACTGCACGACATGCAGCTGACGCCGCTGCAACTTCTACTGCAAGGGCGTCGGAAAGTTCCGCGCAAAAGCGCATAAGGCGGCAACGCGATGCAATTTCAACTTCCGCTGCTAGAGCTGTAGAAGGACCTACTGAAAGGCTTGAAAGGTTGCAGACTGTTAACCAGCACCGCCATGCACAGCGATGGCTCTGTAGCCCACCAAAGCAGTTTTGGTTTAAGCTGGCGTTCAATTATGAGCCAGTTTGGAGGCTTTCCGGTCGCAAAGACCTCCAATTAGGATCCATGTCAGTTGTCTGTGGGCATTGCAATGCCAAAAAATGGCCTGGAGTGTCTGCAGGTTTGTGTTGTTCAGACGGTAAGCTACAGTTGCCACCTTTTCAAGAGGTACCTGTTCCGTTGAAAGCTCTGTTGGAGGGTTCCAGACCAGACTCCAAACATTTCGTCGCAAAAATCAGACAGTACAATTGTGCCTTCCAGATAACCTCTTTTGGTGGTAATCCCTTCCGTGAAGTCGGTTGGAATCATATCTATCTATCTATCTATATATATATATGTGTTAAGAAATGGACAAGGTCCGACAATTTATTTATTAAAGACATTTTTATGTTTAACGTTGTAATTTTATAGATACAAGTATTTAAGCAAATGCTCTGTTTATGATAAACAGTATTAAATAACATTTACCGGCCTGAATGTCCGAGAAATTTTCATAGAAAATATTCGTTCTTAATTAATGCGATTATTGGCGACATCCATCGCTAGAAAACATAATATATGCATTAAAATCCTGTTCATCCATAGTGCGAGTTTTGATCCCTGAAGAAAAACTTGTTGTCTGTAGTTTTTCAGTTTATTTGATGTTAAAATGCTAGTACTTACGGATAGTATTCCATCCATCATCTGGCATGTGTTTTTTTTCCTATATATATATATATATATATATATATATATAAATATATATATATATCGGCATCATAAATTAGCTAGACTTTAAATATGGGTCGTCTAATGATTTTCTTTTCCCTTATCTATTTTATCTAATGTCACTAGAAATGTATCCATATGTCTGTTGTTTTTTTTTAATTTAGTTCAACGAATCGGTAGTCGATTTGTGCAACTTAAAATAACTCGTATTTATCTGAATCTAACACCTTAAAACAGTTATTTAACTTCTGGCTTTAAAATGTTATTCGTCACCCTCACTTTAGGTCCTTTGCTGTTCTTCCTCTTTCTTTACGCCTCTCTCTGGATCTTTCATACATTTCCCTCTCATCTTTGTTTCTCAGTCCCACATAGACAGTATCACATATATATTTTTTAAATGAAGAGATATATATTCTGTTTTTTTTTTTTTAATTTGTAGGTCTGATCTATTGGGTCGTTATGACGAATCCAATGAAATAAATTATAACTATGAAATATTAGTGTTTGAGCCTTTTATGTTATGTTCTTACTCTGTCCTGGACATTGAGTTCTACCTCGATTTTATCCTCATGGAAATATATATATATATATATATATATATATATATATATATATATATATATTGATTGACCTAATATTATTTGTGTGTGTGTGTGTCTCTGTGTGTGTGTGTGTGTAGATGGCAGACATTTGTTAGATTTTTGTGGGAAGATAATAATGATTTATTGATACAAGATTTAATAATTGACCCATATCTGGAGGTAGAAATGGTGAACACATGCTTTTTCCCAGGGAATTTGCGCATAACTAAATATAACAAATACAACTTGGAATTAGGAATCGGTCCTCCGGTTGACAATTGCAAGTCAATATATCTGTTTTTATCTCTGAGATGAGATGTTATATTTATTTACATTATATACATTATTCGGACTGTTATCCTCATCTTTATTGGCATATTTACAACAATTCGGCCGTTGTATGCTCCAAACTTCTTCGATTGGAATTTCGAACTGAAGCCTTTATTTCGCTCACCAGGGTATATTGTTCTATTTACGCGTGTCATGTCTCTTCTGGATGCCTCAGTTATTTCTCCTTAACTCAGCCCTCCAAGATTTTTGGTTCACCACTCCAGTAACCTGGTATTGAACCCACAAACCTTTGGGTCTAATCACAGGATCCAACCAACGTCTTTATCTACTGGGTTAAAATTCATTACAACAAATTCACATCCAATCTTACAGCTTAATATATTCAACAAGTGGTCATCCATCGAGGTACAGATCAGGCTCGACATTGCCTAACTTCAGTGATTGTACGGGTATTGGTGTTCCAACATGATAACTTATAAGGATGGATAGATAGATAGATAGATAGATAGATAGATAGATAGATAGATAGATAGGCTAATATTAATATATTTTTAATGATAATCAATGTACATTAAAACGTGACAATTATAAATATCATGTACACTTTATAAACATAACTTGACATTGCAGCATCAATTCTGTTTTTATAAACGGTATAAAACTCAGTTTCTCCGACTTTCAAAGATATATATTTTAATGTTTTCTGTCAATTGGGGGCTAATTTTAATGATTGTAACGTTAAGATCCCTGCCTACTGTTCATACTTCAAGCTAAGCGTGAATTAAGTTTTCTCCAGTAACGTTCATCAAATAGAAGGCCCTGGGGTCTATCGATATAGAGAGAGTTAGGAGACAGTTTATATGGTTAGGATGGCAAGGTAATGGTTCACACTAGATTTGAACAGGTTAAGATTTTTGTGACCATCAACTTGGGAGTCTGTTCCACATAGCAGAAATTCGTGGGAAGAAACTTTGATTGGAACTGACTTCTCACCGACGATATACTGGGTGAGTATGAGTGGTTTGCTAAAATGTAACTGACAATACGGGTCCTATCCGTGGTGTTCAGAACTGGAGGAACGAAGCACATTCCATGAAAGTAGCGATAGAGTAGTGAGAGGCTCGCATCCCCCTATGCTGAAAGAGCGGTTGGAGGGAGGAAAATAATTTGTCACCCACAAGATCCTGAAGACGGTTTCGAACTCACGACTTGAAAGTGAGGAGTGAACAGCTTGCGCCAAATACAACAACAGTTATCACATTCGGTTGATCTCACACTCGTAAATGTATAGGATAGCCTGAAAAGTCAGGTATTTACTGGAGTTGTACAGGTAGCTAACACTTTTATCAGCAGTTTTAGCGATGGATCGTAGGTACGAGTTCCACTTGAGGTCAGGTGTAAGTTAAGGCCCAATATACTCTCAAGAGATGATTAATCATCGAAGGGGGATACTAACACATAGTACATGATCTGGATAGTAATGAATCAAAAATAAAATAATGTATCTGATCGCTTCAACATAACTTTAAAATGTCATGCAGATCAAATTGAGGATACACAACATTAAGTTTAGTATGTAGCATACAACATAACCATTTGTTGTAAAAGTGCCAAAAAAGAACAAAAACATTTTAATATGGGATATGAAAACAAAATTATCCTTGAAATTTGATTTTTTAACTTAAGATTTGGGTCTTTGTTCGTTGGCCTAGGCAAAGTGATTATTTGAAGATGCTAAAGATAAACACTGAGATCGATATCGGGTTGGGGACGGCCCCTATTTGTTGAAGATTGATCGCATAGTTAGTGAGCCGTGATATTGCCGGAGACATTCTGACTGCATCAGCGATCCGAAATTGTTAGAGTGTGACTGCTCCTTAGTCACACCGTTTGGCCACAACGACTGATTTATAAGATGGTGTGCTCACAGTACATTTAAGGAAGGCCTATTGTATTATGAAGACATTGAGATGGTTGGATTGCTTTTTTTTCTTTTAGTCGGGTTGAATCGATGAAATCAGATTATCCTGTCTTTATATGTCCTTTTATGTATCTACAAATACTTAAAGTACCTATCATACAATCCAGGCACACACTCACACGCATATATATATATATATATATATATATATATATATATATATATATATATATATATATATATATATGTGTGTGTGTGTGTGTGTGTGTGTGTGTGTGTGTGTGTATATGTATGTATATATTTATATATATGTATATATATATATATATATATATATATATATATATATATATATATATATATATATATATATATATATATATATATATATATATATATATGATATGTGAAAATATATAGAAAATAGGAAGGAACTGGTTAGGTAAATAATCCAAAGTCCCTTAGTATTTTAGTTATTATTTTTAAAAAATAGTGCTCGATACAAAAGTAGAGCATAAATATAATTATTTATTTAAAAATATGATTCCTAATCGCTACATAAGAGGTCTCATGTTTCAAAACAAGAGCCGAAAACTTCAATATAATCCTTTAAATTAAATTGAGTTGAAAGTAAAATGGGCTCCGTTACATCTTCAAGCGAAATTTTTATTGGAATAACGTATATCTGAAATTTACTTGTTTTAAAATTGAAATCCAAAATCCCCATGGTAACAGCTAGGGTGAATTGTCTAAATTGGGTAGGCGAGTGTAGGGTGTTTATAATAAGTAGCTGTATAGAGATACTTTCAAGGTGTCAAGTCGGGGAAAGGTGGGGTGTCAAAAATGAAACGGAAGATGTATTGGCCATCGTCTAGTTTGCTTGTCTATGGAGATTTATGTATTTATTTTATTTTATTTTATTTTATTATGAAAGGGAATTGTGCATATAAAAAAAGAAAAACTTCCGTAACGTTTGTTTTTTGACGACTTCATAAAGGGTTATCTTATATGTAAGGTATTTAAACTACTAATTTAGGCTATGGATTATGAAGTGTGTTATGTTGTATGCATGTTTGTAGTTAATTATTCCTACTATGAATCTGATGATTGGGCTATTTGTCAAACAAAATTTTTTATCTAATAATTCAAACCAAAAATCTGATGATGCCTACAAAAAAACCGTTAACTCGTGTCTATTATTTAATAGATTATTATTATTTAGAAGTTTAATAATGTGCAATTTTTCATGGAGGCACAAAGGGCATGGGTCATCCCAAGCTTTACATATTCTAGCCTTGTCAATAATTTTCCATTTAACTTTCGGTGTCTTATTTGTTTCCTTCAGGTGCCAAAAATATTTTGATAGTGAAGTCTGATTTCTTTTGTTTATATTATTAAAGGAGCACTTATGCTGCCTCCATCTATCTTTAAACTTATTCTTCGTGGACCCAATGTATATCATATTAGTGCTAGCGCTCTCTGTGGATGAAATAGTACATTGGTATACCACAGAATTAATACAACATTTATTTTCTAATGGGCAGTCTTCTGGGTTTCTACAGTTACATAATTTTTCCCTTTTATCGTCTGCTTTAAGTGCAGAGTTTTTATTAATACTGTTTTGGCATGGGGGTTTGTTCAAGATCTTATTATTGTATTTTTTTATTATGCGTTCAAGATTATCAGAGCAGCTGTAGCTCAATTTTAGGGTGTTCTTATTGAATATATTACTAAGCTTACTATTGGTGGGGAAGTGTTTATTAATTAGAGCTAAGAATTTCTGTCCTAGTTTAATACTAACCCTTTGGTTGAACGGAGGGGTGTACCAAATGATATTTCTTTTTCTGTTTTTTTCCTATGTCCAGTGTAATTTTCTCTGTAGTTAATGTTAGCATTTTTATAACCACTATTTTTTAGGGCAGTGTTATAGAAGCTATTGTGTTGTTGGAATATTTCCCTGTTTGCGTAGTTAATGCTAATTCTATTTTCTATTGATGAGGGTATATGTTTAATTATTGATGGAGGATGGTTTGACTTCGGGTGTATGTATAAAGGGTTAGCATTTGGTTTTCTATAAGGTTGGTAATATGTTGCCTGGTAAGTCTAGAGTTACGTCGAGGAAGTTAACCCTTTTCAAATTAGAAGAGACAGTTATCTTTAAGTTTAGTTTCTTAAATTCACTAAATATAATTTTTCTGATTTTTTTCAATCTTAAAACAAGTAAAACTCCTCACCATCATGAGCCCGTCATCTCTATACAGCCCGGAGTCCTTAACATCAATTTCGCGGTGTGCCGTTAAATTGTACAGTATTAGGAGACCAACAAGGTCAGAAGACTCTGCATAGTCTAACGATCCCATAGTGATGTCAAACAGGTCGTTATTGTTTTTTATCCATTGGTCCCCATTGTGAACGAGGACCGATTTCTTTGCGCTGAGGATTATATCCGTTTCATCCTTTGTTAGGTTAGAATACACCACATCAGCAAAGTCCAGGGCAGTCATAAATAAATCCTTCGAAATTGATGGGTAGTAGTCCACGATATCGAACTGTATAAGGGTGCAATTCCGTTTATCATCAATATAGTTAAACCAATTGATAACATCTTTAGTGTTGATCCATAATTTTAATTCCAGTTGTTTTTTTTTTATTTGGGAGGTAATTTTTTTCTAGGATCCTTTTGCTGATCTTTCCTATGTCGGGTCGGGTAGGGTTAATTATTCTGGTCGCAGGGTGTTCTAAAAAGTCAGGCTTATGATCCTTAAGAGTTATATAACATTCTTTTTCAGTAAGTTTACCTACTCTATCGCTGATTTTTAATTTATCAGTTATTTTTTTACTAGTTTTGTTTATGCTATCAACCATATTAATGTTGTTGTTGCAAGCTTTTTTATAAGTCCTGGTTAAGTTTTTTTTAATTAAGTTGTTGTAGTCGTCGACATCCAATTTGTAGAAGTTGCCGGTTTTGTCAGACTTAACTAATATTTTGTCACAATCATTAATGCTTTTAACTATTTGGTCTAGATGTTTTTGGAAGTGGTTTTTATTTTTTTGAAAGGAGATGTTGATAATGTTGAGTAGGTCTTTTTCAAAATCATATAGCTGTTTGTTGAATGGGGCAACTTTTTTACTTTTAAAGCCGTAAACTTCACGTTCTTTATCAGTAGGGTTATTTCCACGAAAATAGAAGTATGCCTTCCATCTCATCCTTCTAATTAATTCCTCCGATTTTTGTAAAAGCTTAACAAAATAATTCCGTTTGTTTGTTAGTGGAATATTTTTGAGAGAAATCCCGAAACAATTCCCTTTCATAATAAAATAAAATAAAATAAATAAATAAATCTCCATAGACAAGCAAATTTTTGACACCCCCACCTTTCCCCGACTTGACACCTTGAAAGTATCTCTATACCGCACTTATTATAAACAACCTACACTCGCCTACCCAATTTAGACAATTCACACTAGCTGTTACCATGGGGATTTTGATTTCAATTTTAAAACAAGTAAATTTCAGATATACGGTATTCCAATAAAAATTTCGCTTGAAGATGTAACGGAGCCCATTTTACTTTCAACTCAATTTAATTTAAAGGATTATATTGAAGTTTTCGGCTCTTGTTTTGAAACATGAGACCTCTTATGTAGCGATTTGGAATCATATTTTTAAATAAATAATTATATATATATGTATGTATATATATATATATATATATATATATATATATATATATATATATATATATATATATATTTATATATATTTTATATATATTTATATATATGTTTATATCTGTATATCTTTTATATATATATATAAATACGTATATATACATATAAATAAAACTATATATGTAATGTCATATATATATATATATATATATATATATATATATATATATTATATTATATATCCTATATAACTATATGTGTGTGTGTGTGTGTGTGTGTGACGTGCGTGCGTCTTAGAGGCTATTATCACCTTGACTGGACCGAAATGATTAATATATATATATTTTATTATTATTATTAATAATAATAGAAATCATATAAGTATAAGAAACTATACCCGCTCGGAAAACCTTCGGTGTCTTTATTTGAAAATAAACGAACCAATACAAAAGAAAATATGCTATAAAAATGAAAAAAACAAGAACATGTACGTTAGCCGAAAATAATCGTCTAGCATGCAAGTCCAAGACCCAAAGAAAGAAACCCCGATGCGAGTACGCAAAATAACTAAATAATTGATCAATACAATGAGTAGAGCAGACCTAGTTAAACCTAAAGAACCAGAGAATACTACCAGCCTTCCCTGACGATCCGTTAAGGTGAAACTTTGGTAGCTTTGTCTGGCTCTCTAGGATCAACTAAATATATATATATATATATATATATATATATATATATATATATATATATATATATATATATATCTGTGCGTGTGCTGTTGCCTTTGTAAATATTTTGCACAGATTTTGTAAACAATCGAATTTCTGATTTGTATTCATTATCTAAGTGTGCTGAATTGTTATGTAATATCAACCTTCTTCTGTAGTGCTACATGCTCTCAGCTGAAGAGAAGACTTCAGCCAAAAGAGGTATTTTTCTCAAGTATCATGAGAATATCTTAGAATAAGCATCCGTGCAACGAGCAAGTTTCAAGGAAAATGGAAGCTAAAAGAACTGTTTTACTTCGAAAGGGAAAGATACTTTTGAAATATCTTTGAGATATAATGAGGAAAACGGTTTTGAGAATTTGACCCACTTGGAGACAAATATTTCCGGAGCACACAGCTTGCAACTTACCTATCTATAAATGAGTGACAGAAAAGAACTAGGAGAAATGAAAAAGAGACAGACATTATTTAGAGCTAAAAACGATAGGAAGTGGTGGAGAGTCATTAACACCCACACTCTAAATGGTCAAGATAAATAAGAGTAGTTAGTTTTATCATTCTTATTTCGGTCTTTAGTACGAAATATTGTGCAAATTATTAAGAAGATTAAAAAAATACCTCGAATAATGCTGAAACGTAGTGATTGAAATATGACAGTAATATTTAATTAAATTAATTTTTCTCATGCGAGAAATTCGATTAATAATTTAATTACAATAATTTTTAACACACATGGAGCGCATAGAATTGTAAAGAATGGTGTAATAGAATCATTAGAGAAGTATGGCGTATTTCACCAGTGAATCTTTCATGACTGCACTTGTTATATCGACAAAATTGAAATACGGTCACACGAAGTGTGATATAGGAATACATGTATTATCAAAAGCTAGTTTTTTTTTTCTTTTTAAAATTACGCATTTCACATTAGGGATCAAATAATTTATTGACAGTATTTGTAAAGCATCACAAAATAACTAGATGGAACAAAGCTAGGAAGACAATAGTAACTTCCAACATAATTACATGGCACCTTCATAAGAGAAACAAACGTTTCCGTTTCCGTCCTAACAAATAAACAATGAATATGAAGATATGATTCATATTCCTCGATTTGCCTAGCTACCTCCACAGATATCCTGAAAGCTATCTTACATTTCCTCTGTCGGATGAAACCTGTTTAAATGCGGAAAAAATTGCTTTCATTTTCAACAATAGAATCATAATTATTATGGATCGAAATTCTTCCTAGCAACAATGTTTCTTTACCTGGATATCTGGTTAAAATCCAGGTGGAGCATCTGTTCTTGTTTCTGGTGATTTCTGGTCGTTCATGAGTTTTCTACCGAGGGATAACTGATCTTGACGTCGCCAGGACCGACTGTAGCATCAAGAGATTAGGCTGAGAACCAAAAACAGTGAGATATTCAAATTTATATAATGAAAAATATTGAGTTTTGTCCCAAAATATAAAAAAGACTACAAGAGTATTTCTGAAGAATAAGGATTTTGAGGTAAGCATTATTTTATATGACTTGATCACTATTAATTAATAAAGCATTAACAGTATACAAATATATTTAAAGAAAAATTATCTTCATGACTTCATTTTTCACTGACGCTATAAAACATTAGTACCTTCGATTAGTCAAGTAGATTAATGACATATTGATTGATTAATATATATATATATATATATATATATATATATATATATATATATATATATATATATATATCGGGCCTAATATATATATTTAAATTGTGTGTATTTAGGCAGCATCTTTTCATTCATACGTTTCATTAAATAATATAGACAAATGTTGTCTATTTATTTTATATAAATTCTTTTCATAACGTCTAAGTTTAATAACATTATCATGTCGATTACAACATTTTAAGCAATATATATATATATATATATATATATATATATATATATATATATATATTCCCGTATATTGCTTAATATGATGTAATTGACATCTTTGATAATAACTATGTAAACCAAAAGTTTAGATTATTAAAAAATATATATATATATATATATATATATATATATATATATATATATATATATATATATATATATATATTGTAATTGTATGATTTTTTTTTTCGTGGGGGTGATATATTGTCTTATTAAAAGTATTTTTACTAATTATTCTACTAATCATGACTAGGAGAGAAGAAGTTGATTATAATTTTTCCAATGGCATATGCGGGTAACTGAATACAACGAACCAAACAATAATTGAGACTTGGCTCTACAATTCAAAATTTCGAACCATATCCCATTGTACCCAGCGGTCATCCATGCCTACAGAATCTGGTATTCACAAGCGGTCACACATGTAAGTACTAACCGGGTTCGATTTTGCTTAACTCCTATGATCGTATGGGAACTGGTGTATCAACGTGATGCAGCCGTAAAACAATTTATAACCTATATAATATATTGCTTTAAAGACGTCAAATGAAATGGTTAATTTTTGAAGACAACTTACTTTACTCTTATTTATTAAGGAAGTTATTGCATGAAGTAATCTATTTAAAATTCTTCAGTTATTACATTTCATTATTTTTTATATAATCAAAGTGTTTTATATAATCACATATAAGTATCTGAACTTTTTGTTATTCATTTAATATATATGTTCTATGTAGACTAGGTTATTCTGCCATTCTTGTACCTTTGTGGCTAGTCAAACGTCTAAAGTGTGTAGTAGTGAGTTAAATGAGAAGTGTTCCGTTTAAAAATGGCAGGGTATTCATATCGTGAGCAGGTATAAATGATTTCTACATACGCCTGTATCAGATTACGTTTCCACACCCAACGCTGCCCAATCATCCGAACTTTTTTGCTGTTTATCTACACGTTGATGTAACATGATATGTGGCAGTGCAAACTACGGATCGATTCCACAGTGCCATCTACCGTAATCTTTCTTGAAACAATAACTCAAAATGAGAATGGGCTATTGTCGTATGTTTGGTGTGAGGAACTCGCGCCTAAAATTTGGAAAAGCTTATTTGATACATATTATCAAACAAAATCCAGAGCTAATATTTTAAAGAGAAACAGACCACTTTAAGGTTCCATAATAATACTTTTTTTCACCAGAGCCCTTCCAAACACTTCTAAAGGAAAAAAGATACAGGCCGATGATGAATGCGTGAAGTACTCGAAAGTACTAGCTGAATTAAAACATACACCATATCCATTTTAGAAATAAGGATCTCATCACTCAGTGCATTATTAGTAGTATAATGCTTATAATTATGTCTACAAGCGATAGGATATCACCAATAATTTCATTAATTTTGCTAATTGATTCAAGGTATTATTAACTCTTTGTAATATATATATATATATATATATATATATATATATATAATACTTAGAAATCATATATATATATAATATATATATATATATATATATATATATATATATATATTTGTTTTCTAAATACATACATTTTATGTATATATTCCAGTTGCTAAGAGCATTTCGTTTTGTTATTATTAGTTACTTTGTTTAATAAATTCATTTCGTTTATGCCTTGAAAATGTCCCCATCGGACGAAACGCGTCGGCAACTATTACAGTTTTCCTATTGTTTTTTTTTACATTTATAGTTATTGTCTTTTTCTACAGGTTAACTCTGAGAAGGTTTTCGTAAGTACATATGTATTTTTTTGTTTTCTTTTTTTTTCAACATGCAACGTGTGTTGGCACGTGCAATACCCTGTCTTCATCAGCTGCCGACTAGAGGTGATATCACGGTTTCGGTGGCTATGTCTAGGGCGGGACGCATATATTTATGTATATACGCATGTCTTAGCAGAAGTACACACACACACACACACACACACACACACACACACACACATATATATATATATATATATATATATATATATATATATATATATATATATATATATATATACGGGTCTGTATAAATTACACAGTTAATATATGGAGTTTACGATATAAATTTACTATCTTGAAACATCGTTGCAAGAACTTCATACAACTTACCAATGAACAAGATTGTAGCTTATTGCCAATGCTTGAACAGACATTCGCTTGGCAACGCCAAATATGCGTTTGTATTGTGTGACCTTCGCATTAAAACTTGGACAATTTCCGCGGCCAGCTATTCGAATGATTGATAAGATTTCGCTAATGCTTCAAAGTACGAAGCCAATATTACACTTTAAAGTCAGCACTTTATTATTGACTGAGAACCGTTGAAACTGATTCATGTTTTGGAAGGCCTTCATGATGAGGAATGTCCCAAAATGTTGAAAGCGTGCGCATTGCAAATTAACTACTGACAATGAGAGAAATTTTAAGAAATCTGATAGCTCCACCGACTGTCTGAGATGAAAGTTGCTATTTTCAAATTTCTGGCTGTACCTCCATTATATTTGTAGCGACTTTTTGTTGCTTTCTTTTCCAAAACTTTTCTGTCAACATCTTACACGATAATATATTCACTAAGCGACTTTTGACTTTTTCACAGAGTTAAACTAGGAATCTAGAATGTTTTGAAAATAGGAGTAACGATGGAAGAATGTTTCTGAGATGTCGACTTGAGATGTTTGAAGTATAATATAGCGGAAACCACTAATGTTGTCTACTTTTGTTAGTATTAACCCCTGGTTCATTTCAGGACATCTCTAAAATTTTCGTCGAATGCAATGAAGTAGTATCATAGCTGTGATTGAATTTATTGTCTGCCCAAATAAAAAAAAAACCCAAAAAAAACAGTTTCGTTCTATTCTTTAATATAATTACCAGCACACACTTGATCCGTATAGTAGGTGCGTTCAGAAACGAGGTCGGGATTCTTTTCTATAACAGCAGGAACAATACAATGTAGAAAAAAATATTTTTAAGAGAACACAGGGAACATTTTTTCTGGCAGCTATTTTATTCCAGGTATTTACTCTATTTAAATCTTATGATTTATATTAACGAATTAAATATTATTTGTGTCTTCTTTTGGATGTAAGGCAGCAGTAAATAACCTAATATTTATTATGTTATGCTATGAAATATCTTGTTGAAAATAATGAATAAAACGCATAAATGATATTCAATAATTTACATCTTCAACGTTACAACAATAAATACATTTGGGAATATTTTATAAAAAGTATGAAAGTATTTATTGAATAGGAGTTTAAGTAACTTTTCCATGATTAATATTTTTTTCCCTATGAACTATCATTTTCTTTTTACTGAATAAATACCGCCAAAATTTAGCGAGGCATAAGTGGAAAATTTATTTTTCTTTTGGTTATTGCTTTGTTATTTAATTCCATTTGTTCCTGCATTATCAAAATAATAAAATATGAGAAAATAACACATACAACATTCATTTTGAGTTATTTTATTTCAATTGATTTCCATGAATAAATTTCCTTTTCATTTTGTATCATATTATTTACGTATGAATCAAACGCGGATAAATATATTTCTCTCTGCACGCATTGTTTCGTCTATAGAAAGAGCCGATGTGATACTACACTTTTCTATGACCATAAACAACATTTGAAATCCTGATATTTCCTTAGTTTAAAAAAAATTTTTAACACATTTGCCACTAGTACTACTGTATATATATATATATATATATATATATATATATATATATATATATATATATATATATATATATATAAATATATATATATTAGCATTTCGAATTATGGGTATTGCGTTGTGCCCATTATTTCCGATGTTCGATTAATTTATGGATTAAATTTGCATTATTTTAAGTGTAAATAACTGAGAAAGGGTAACATATTCACGTGATGAATTACAAATTAAATTATTATGAATTATATGAAACAATGATGTATGGTCATTCTCATGGTTACAGCGTAAGAATCCTCGTTTAAACAGAGAAATCATCTCTAAAAATGACTTAACGACAAATGTTGAGAATGGCTATTAAAGAGACCATATGACCAATGTAGTCGGAATCACAAAAAAAAAAAGATAAGAGAACGACATCTTTTTAATTTTTTTTCTGTACAATGCCACCTGATTTACTTCTTTTGTTGAACTCTGAATGACAATGTAAGTTTGAGAATACTAGGAAGAAACTGACGACTCGACTCGACTTGCAAATATACTAACTTATTTTTTTGACATTGAAGTGCAGATAATTAAAGATAGCAAACCCTGTAAAAACGGATATAAATTTATATCTAATATTTTATAATCATTCCATGTTTTTTGCTTTTAAATTTAAGATTGGTGGAGTAGATACTGGAATAGTCCAGGCCCAAAAAATTTAAGAAAATCTGAAGATTTTTCCAAACGGCTTAATTATTTTGGATTGCCAACTTCGTCTGATCTCGTAATTCGTATCCCCGTAGTGGTTTATAATATTTCAAATTTCCATTTGCAGGATGTAATTGGTTTGTCTCACAAATGAATATGCAAATTACGACTTCACCATAAAGAAAGTGTGCACATCTTCATATAATTCATATAACATATGGCGGTGAAGTAGTTTCATGCTAGGATTAGACAAAATGTATAATTCAAATTCAACTATTTTATTTAGTACATGCATATCATAATCCCTGGGAGATGAATGCTTGATATCGAATGTCATATTTATTAAAATCTTTCAATTATATTTTGTTAAACAAAATTATAAAATGAGTTCGTCTACCGCAGAATACAATTATTTATAGCATCAGAATATATGTGTGGGTGTAATCATTATAATACTGAGCGATGGCAACACGAATTTGTTTAGTTCGCTGTGTATCGGCCCTCTATTTTAAACGATAAAATTATCAAACATCCGCTTTTTTAAAGTGATATTAGCAAATTATCGCTTATAGTGAAAATAGAAAACACTCAAAATGCATAGAAGAAACTAATATTAAGTTTAATATAATATATAAAATTGACACCATTATTTCTACGCATATCTAAAATGTAATTAAAAATTTGAAAGTTAAAAATTAACTCTCATACGTTAACTTCTGAAATCAAACCAAAGGTAGATGCATGGAAAAACTTAAATGACAATAATAAATGAAAAGAAGAAAGATGGAATCAAAAGAATGAAAATGAAGCAGGTTGATCGATAAAATAAGTATTATTTTTATATCAATGATAATCCCAATCATATGTGCAGTGGCATTTTTTTTATTAAAACATATACTTCTATATTTTCACGAATTATAGAAATCACTTTCAGATTCTAATATACTTTCAAGGAAACTAAATTGTAGAACAGAAAGAATGGTGGTTACTGAGGTAAGGTACAGGTGAGCATGCAAATCTCGACGCTCATCATGCAAATTAAGCTAGTTAGTGCCAATATTGTTCAAGCAACATCATCAGCGCTGGTATTAACATATGTATCCAACACTTAACC